AGAGGATGGAGAGGGAATATAACTGTCCGTGTGTGTGTGTGTGTGTGTTATAGAGGATGGAGAGGGAATATAACTGTCCGTGTGTGTGTGTGTGTGTTATAGAGGATGGAGAGGGAATATAACTGTCCTGTGTGTGTGTGTGTGTGTTATAGAGGATGGAGAGGGAATATAACTGTCCGTGTGTGTGTGTGTGTGTGTGTTATAGAGGATGGAGAGGGAATATAACTGTCCATGTGTGTGTGTGTGTGTGTGTGTTATAGAGGATGGAGAGGGAATATAACTGTCCGTGTGTGTGTGTGTGTGTGTGTGTGTGTGTTATAGAGGATGGAGAGGGAATATAACTGTCTGTGTGTGTGTGTGTGTGTTATAGAGGATGGAGAGGGAATATAACTGTCCGTGTGTGTGTGTGTGTGTGTGTGTGTGTGTTATAGAGGATGGAGAGGGAATATAACTGTCCGTGTGTGTGTGTGTGTGTGTGTTATAGAGGATGGAGAGGGAATATAACTGTCCGTGTGTGTGTGTGTGTGTGTGTGTGTTATAGAGGATGGAGAGGGAATATAACTGTCCGTGTGTGTGTGTGTGTGTGTTATAGAGGATGGAGAGGGAATATAACTGTCCGTGTGTGTGTGTGTGTGTGTTATAGAGGATGGAGAGGGAATATAACTGTCCGTGTGTGTGTGTGTGTGTGTGTGTGTGTGTGTGTGTTATAGAGGATGGAGAGGGAATATAACTGTCCGTGTGTGTGTGTGTGTGTGTGTGTTATAGAGGATGGAGAGAGAATATAACTGTCCGTGTGTGTGTGTGTGTGTGTGTGTTATAGAGGATGGAGAGGGAATATAACTGTCCGTGTGTGTGTGTGTGTTATAGAGGATGGAGAGGGAATATAACTGTCCGTGTGTGTGTGTGTGTGTGTTATAGAGGATGGAGAGGGAATATAACTGTCCGTGTGTGTGTGTGTTATAGAGGATGGAGAGGGAATATAACTGTCCGTGTGTGTGTGTGTGTGTGTTATAGAGGATGGAGAGGGAATATAACTGTCCGTGTGTGTGTGTGTGTGTGTGTGTGTGTGTTGTGTGTGTTATAGAGGATGTAGAGGGAATATAACTGTCCGTGTGTGTGTGTGTGTGTGTTATAGAGGATGGAGAGGGAATATAACTGTCCGTGTGTGTGTGTGTGTGTGTGTGTGTGTGTGTGTGTTATAGAGGATGGAGAGGGAATATAACTGTCCGTGTGTGTGTGTGTGTGTGTTATAGAGGATGGAGAGGGAATATAACTGTCCGTGTGTGTGTGTTATAGAGGATGGAGAGGGAATATAACTGTCTGTGTGTGTGTGTGTGTGTGTGTGTGTGTGTGTGTGTGTGTGTGTGTGTGTTATAGAGGATGGAGAGGGAATATAACTGTCCGTGTGTGTGTGTGTTATAGAGGATGGAGAGGGAATATAACTGTCCGTGTGTGTGTGTGTGTGTGTTATAGAGGATGGAGAGGGAATATAACTGTCCGTGTGTGTGTGTGTGTGTGTGTGTGTGTGTGTGTTATAGAGGATGGAGAGGGAATATAACTGTCCGTGTGTGTGTGTGTGTGTGTGTTATAGAGGATGGAGAGGGAATATAACTGTCCGTGTGTGTGTGTGTGTGTTATAGAGGATGGAGAGGGAATATAACTGTCCGTGTGTGTGTGTGTGTGTGTTATAGAGGATGGAGAGGGAATATAACTGTCCGTGTGTGTGTGTGTTATAGAGGATGGAGAGGGAATATAACTGTCCGTGTGTGTGTGTGTGTGTGTTATAGAGGATGGAGAGGGAATATCACTGTCCGTGTGTGTGTGTGTGTGTGTGTGTTATAGAGGATGGAGAGGGAATATAACTGTCTGTGTGTGTGTGTGTGTGTGTGTGTGTGTGTGTGTGTGTGTGTTATAGAGGATGGAGAGGGAATATAACTGTCCGTGTGTGTGTGTGTGTGTGTGTGTGTGTGTGTGTGTGTGTTATAGAGGATGGAGAGGGAATATAACTGTCCGTGTGTGTGTGTGTGTGTGTGTGTGTTATAGAGGATGGAGAGGGAATATAACTGTCCGTGTGTGTGTGTGTGTGTGTGTTATAGAGGATGGAGAGGGAATATAACTGTCCGTGTGTGTGTGTGTGTGTGTGTGTTATAGAGGATGGAGAGGGAATATAACTGTCCGTGTGTGTGTGTGTGTGTGTTATAGAGGATGGAGAGGGAATATAACTGTCCGTGTGTGTGTGTGTGTGTGTGTTATAGAGGATGGAGAGGGAATATAACTGTGTGTGTGTGTGTGTGTGTGTGTGTGTGTGTGTGTGTGTGTGTGTGTGTGTGTTATAGAGGATGGAGAGGGAATATAACTGTCCGTGTGTGTGTGTGTGTGTGTGTGTTATAGAGGATGGAGAGGGAATATAACTGTCCGTGTGTGTGTTATAGAGGATGGAGAGGGAATATAACTGTCCGTGTGTGTGTGTGTGTGTGTGTTATAGAGGATGGAGAGGGAATATAACTGTCCGTGTGTGTGTGTGTGTGTGTGTGTGTTATAGAGGATGTAGAGGGAATATAACTGTCCGTGTGTGTGTGTGTGTGTGTGTTATAGAGGATGGAGAGGGAATATAACTGTCCGTGTGTGTGTGTGTGTGTGTGTGTTATAGAGGATGGAGAGGGAATATAACTGTCCGTGTGTGTGTGTGTGTGTGTTATAGAGGATGGAGAGGGAATATAACTGTCCGTGTGTGTGTGTGTGTGTGTGTGTTATAGAGGATGGAGAGGGAATATAACTGTCCGTGTGTGTGTGTGTGTGTTATAGAGGATGGAGAGGGAATATAACTGTCCGTGTGTGTGTGTGTGTGTGTGTGTTATAGAGGATGGAGAGGGAATATAACTGTCTGTGTGTGTGTGTGTGTGTGTGTGTGTGTGTGTGTTATAGAGGATGGAGAGGGAATATAACTGTCCGTGTGTGTGTGTGTGTGTGTGTGTGTGTGTGTGTGTGTGTGTGTGTGTGTATAGAGGATGGAGAGGGAATATAACTGTCCGTGTGTGTGTGTGTGTGTTATAGAGGATGGAGAGGGAATATAACTGTCCGTGTGTGTGTGTGTTATAGAGGATGGAGAGGGAATATAACTGTCCGTGTGTGTGTGTGTGTGTGTGTTATAGAGGATGGAGAGGGAATATAACTGTGTGTGTGTGTGTGTGTGTGTGTGTGTGTGTGTGTGTGTGTGTTATAGAGGATGGAGAGGGAATATAACTGTCCGTGTGTGTGTGTGTGTGTGTGTTATAGAGGATGTAGAGGGAATATAACTGTCCGTGTGTGTGTGTGTGTTATAGAGGATGGAGAGGGAATATAACTGTCCGTGTGTGTGTGTGTGTGTGTTATAGAGGATGGAGAGGGAATATAACTGTCCGTGTGTGTGTGTGTGTGTGTTATAGAGGATGGAGAGGGAATATAACTGTCCGTGTGTGTGTGTTATAGAGGATGGAGAGGGAATATAACTGTCCGTGTGTGTGTGTGTGTGTGTGTGTGTGTGTGTGTGTGTGTGTGTGTGTGTGTGTGTGTGTTATAGAGGATGGAGAGGGAATATAACTGTCCGTGTGTGTGTGTTATAGAGGATGGAGAGGGAATATAACTGTCTGTGTGTGTGTGTGTGTGTGTGTGTGTGTGTGTGTGTGTGTGTGTGTGTGTGTGTGTGTGTGTGTGTTATAGAGGATGGAGAGGGAATATAACTGTCCGTGTGTGTGTGTGTTATAGAGGATGGAGAGGGAATATAACTGTCCGTGTGTGTGTGTGTGTGTGTGTGTTATAGAGGATGGAGAGGGAATATAACTGTCCGTGTGTGTGTGTGTGTGTGTTATAGAGGATGGAGAGGGAATATAACTGTCCGTGTGTGTGTGTGTGTGTGTGTGTGTGTGTGTGTGTGTTATAGAGGATGGAGAGGGAATATAACTGTCCGTGTGTGTGTGTGTGTGTGTTATAGAGGATGGAGAGGGAATATAACTGTCCGTGTGTGTGTGTGTGTGTGTGTGTGTGTGTGTGTTATAGAGGATGGAGAGGGAATATAACTGTCCGTGTGTGTGTGTGTGTGTTATAGAGGATGGAGAGGGAATATAACTGTCCGTGTGTGTGTGTGTGTGTTATAGAGGATGGAGAGGGAATATAACTGTCTGTGTGTGTGTGTGTGTGTGTGTTATAGAGGATGGAGAGGGAATATAACTGTCCGTGTGTGTGTGTGTGTGTTTGTTATAGAGGATGGAGAGGGAATATAACTGTGTGTGTGTGTGTGTGTGTGTGTTATAGAGGATGGAGAGGGAATATAACTGTCCGTGTGTGTGTGTGTGTGTGTGTGTGTGTTATAGAGGATGGAGAGGGAATATAACTGTCCGTGTGTGTGTGTGTGTTATAGAGGATGGAGAGGGAATATAACTGTCCGTGTGTGATGGGGAAGCCAAAGGTGGCCTTCAGAGAGACGGTGACCAGCGCTGTGCCGTAAGTCCTGCACTTACACACATGAAGAAATCATTCATATCATCTGATTATCCTCAACTCAAGCCAAAATCACCATAACACTTTATTTTACAGTGGTTACACGTGTTACATATAGGTACTGTAGTGACTAGGGCTGTCAAAGAAAAATTCGGATTTAGCTTTTCAGCCATTTTGACAGCCCTAGTAGTGATAACTATAAATTATGCATAATTACAACTAACCCTAAACCAAACCCCTAACTCTATAGTAAGCACATGTTGTTAATGAATATTACTAAGTACTTAAATGTAGAATTGAACTGTTAAAAGGAAACATTAAAATAGTTTAACCAAATTCATTTGAAATAAAGTAAACATTAACTGAAATAAGATTTTTTTAAAAATCAAATTTGCGTTAAAAAACCCAAATAAAACTTTAACTGACTTGAATTGAACACAGGAAATATAAAATCTAATTCAAAATATGGCATATGTTTGCATGTGTCCAGCAGTGCGGTCAGAATCAGGGGCTTTCTCTGATGAATTTCTCTCTGTTTATTAGTGTTGATGCGTGAACAGACAGCGTGTGTGTGTGTGTGTGTGTGTGCGCTCAGTCTGCTGTTGGCGGGCCGGTCTCATGAGGGCACTTGGGAAGCCACTCGGTCTCCAGCACTCTGACGCCCCCCTCAGGAGACCAGGAGCATAACAGCTTCCAACGGATGATCTCCTGCACAACAGATCATGACATTAACACACACTCGTCCTCTGTCCGAGACCTCGATCCGCTTTAATGATCTGTGTTTCTCACCTGTGAGACGATGTCATGAAGGAGAACGTGGTACTTCAGCATCAGCTGCTTCTCGCTCGTCTCCTAAGATAGAGGACGTTATTCTTCAGCCTCTCGTAACATGCGGCAATCACTTACAACACGTTAAAGCAGGGGTAATCAATTAAAGTCCAAGAGCTCCGGTCTCTAGATCTCCTTCCCAGTGAGGTCTGGACAAGTCGAGTGTGTGTGTCGAGCTCTCACCTGCTGTGTGAGGTTGGCCACCTGTGCCAGGTTATACTCGGTGTTCTCGCTGGACTCTCTCAGCATGATGAAGGACGCAGCCACACGAGCCAGATGCCAGAACGGCTGCATGTCCTGACTGATGTTCCCATAGCTGTCTGCACACACACAGAGAGAGAGAGAGTTCAGCGCTGAGCCCTGTGTGTGTGTGTGTGTGTGTGTGTGTGTGTGTGTGATGGACACTAACGTTCATAAGTTTGGGGTCGGGAAGATTTTTAAAGTTGTAAATGCAGCCTTGGTGAGCAGAAGAGACTTCTTTTAAGATCATTAAAAATCTTTCCGATCCCAAACGTTTGACTGGTAGTGCAGGTGTGTTATTGTGTGTCACACACACCTGGCAGGTCATGCGCAGAGACGGCGCTGTGAGGCGGTGTGTGTTTCTGGTAGAAAGCGAGTTCCTCCGGCGAGCTGCTGATTTGTGTCAGATCCTCACAGCGCAGATGCACCTCCGGAGGAGTGTGTGTGTGTGTCTCCGTCCGGGGGAACAACACGTCCGCTGAGCAGCGCAGCACTGAGCCCTGACACACACACACACACACACACACAAGAAACGTGTTATGATGGAAAACCTGGGCTTAGATCACTTGATCACATGCGTTCAAAAGTTTGGGGTCGGCGAGACCTTTTTTCATTATAAAGATATTTGTAAGGTTACAAAAATGTGAACATTCTTTGAACATTCTATTCATAAAATATGAAATATGAAGCAGCACAACTGTTTTCAACACTGAAAATAATTGCAATGATTTCTGAAGGATCATGTGACACTGAAGACCGGAGTAATGATGCTGAAAGTTCAGCTTTTGATCTCAGGAATAAATTGCACTTTACTATATGGCCTGGCTCTGCGCGCACCGAAAGCCACCGCCCAGGCCATCGGGAGGGCTATGGCCAGTTAAGTGGTGCCTTCCTCAACTCTCCTATTTCTTCCACTGGTCTCTTCGGCCCTGCGGTGGACGGCTTCGCTGAGCGCTTCATGACTGCACAGAAGGCATCGCAGGCTACCGCTCCAGACTCAGCAGCCAGCCAAACCAGCGCCTGCAGTCTCTCAGCCTCATCCAGCAGCAGCGCCCTCATCAGACAAAACACTTCCCACCTAAGCGTCAGGGACCCCGAGCCTAGAATTACGCTGGACCCTGAGCCCAAGAAGCAGTCCTGATCATCCAGACAGGAAGAGGGGAGGGTTAAGTCTCGCTGTGGCCGGACCACCCTCCAAAAAGCCCAGTGTTCCTCCCCGTCACAGACTGATTTTGAGATTCGCGTTCGAAGGGGTGGCCTACCTGTATACATTCCTACCATTCGGACTGTCCCTGGCCCCACACACTTTTACGAAGTGCATGGATGCAGCATTATCCCCCCTTAGACAGAAGGGAATGAGCATCTTGAACTACATCAACGAGCTCATTCTGGCCCAGACGGAGGCGGAACTAAATTCCAACAGATCTGTGCTCCTCAGCCATTTGGACTCATAATCAACATAGCCAAGAGCTCACTGTTCCCCAGTCAGAGGATCTCCTTCCTGGGTGCAGTTATAGACTCAGCCCAAATGGAGGCTTGGCTGACACCCGAGCACGCCCAGACTATTCAGCAGCTCGCGAGCTCTTTTAGAGTAAGGGGCCGTCGCCCCCTCAGAACCTTTCAAAGGATGCTAGGCATCATGACCTCCGCTGTTAACACTTCCGCTGGGTCTGCTACAAATGCGCCCCTTGCAGTACTGGCTGAAACTCCAGGTCCCTACCCGAGCGTGGCGCTCAGGCCACCTTCATGTCAGGGTGGACCATGGCTGCATCAGAGCCCTGGCCCCTTGCAGAGACCCCAGCTATCATGAGTCTGGGGTAAGCTTGGGGACGGTCTCTAGGAGGATGGTGGTCACCACGGACGCCTCCAACATAGGTTGGGGAGCTCTGTGCGAGGGCAAACTGACCTCCGGCTCTTGGATGAGCACGGAGAAACGGCTGAATATCAACTGCCTAGAAATGTTGGTGGTTTTACTGGCCCTCAAAACCTTCTAAGCACACCTGGCAGGTCACCATGTCTTAGTCCAATCGGACAACACGACAATAGTGTCCTAAATAAACCGCCAGGGTGGGCTCAGGTCGAGACCTTTGTACAGGCAAGCCAGAAGTCTCCTCTTATGGGCACGAGGCAACCTGCGCTTCCCAGATGGTTCAAATGATCTGGCCCTTAAGTGGTCTGTGTTCTCCAGCTGGTGCTCAGCCCAGAGCCTAGACCCTGCTTATGCGAAGTACCACTGGTATTTTCATTTCTTCAACAGCTACTGGATGCGGGCCGTACCCCATCCACGCTCAAAGTCTACATGGCGGCCATTGCAGCTTTCCATGCCCCAGTTGCCGGCCAGTCGTTAGTGAAAAGTGACCATAATTGTTCGCTTCCTAAGGGGAGCAAGGAGGCCCAACCCGCCACAGAGTACCCTCCTGGGACCTATCAACGGTCCTCAGGACCCTCAAAGGTCCTCCATTCGAGCCGCTACAATCGGCGGAATTGAAGCCACTCTCGCTCAAGACTGCACTACTGCTAGCCTTAGATCGGTCAAGCAAGTAGGGGACCTCCAAGTGCTCTCTGTTAGTGCTTCATGTCTTGAGTTTGAACCAGGCGACTCTAAAGTCATCCTTAAGCCAAGGCATGGTTATGTGCCCAAAGTGCTTTCAACTCCGTTCAAAGCTCAAGTACTGCTCCTCACGTCGGAAGACGAGCAACAATTACACCTGCTCCTCCCGGTCCGGGCCCTGAGAACATATATAGAGCGTTCCGCTGCGTTCAGACAGTCGGAGCAGCTCTTCGTAAGCTTCGGCAGCCGCACCAAAGGGCTTCTGGTCACAAAGCAAAGGTTGTCCCGTTGGCTAGTGGATGGTATCACTCTAGCCTACACTTCTATGGGCCTGCAATGCCCAATCGGCGTCAGAGCACAATCCCCCAGAGGCATGGCCTCCTCCTGGGTGTGGTCCAGTGGTATCTATTAGCGATATATGTGCGGCAGCCGGCTGGTCCTCGCCATCCACCTTCGCCAGATTTTATAACTTGGAAGTCCCTGCATTGCAGGCACATATCCTTTCTGTGTAGTTGAAGCCGGCCTCTGTGCAAGCCCGGCCCACTATTATTCTTAAGGGTTCTGACTCTATTGTACCCCCTCAGGGAGCTATTGCCCCATTAGCCCTCTGCCCTTGGGACCCTTGTGCAAGCGTCCCAGGCTCAGGTATAGAACATGCTTGAACAGCGTGATTGGATTGGTTCTCCGTCGTGTCTAGCAGACGCAATACGACTGACCGTTTGAAAGGGAACGACTCTGCTGCTAATGTAACCTCGGTTCCCTGAGATAAGGGAACGAGTATTGCGTAGACGGCCGAGCTATGTCGCACACGACTTGCCGTTCGTCGCTTCAGTCGATTTAACCTGAATCCTATGGCGAAATGAGCGTCTTTTACAGGCAGATGCCCAGCCCCGATTGGCTCGCGCAGTTGCGCCGCTCCGCCATAGGCTCGTGCAGTTCCCACTGACCAGCCAATAAGCGTGCGATTAGTCTCTGGACTGTTATGGCTGTGCAGTAGCACTGCGTTATTTTATAAAAGGCTTCAGTATTCTGAGAAAAATGAGTTTTCCCCATCGCGTCTAGCAGACGCAATACTCGTTCCCTTATCTCAGTGAACCGAGGTTACGTTAGTAACCGAGTCGATTTACATTGGAATAATATTTCACTGTTTTACTGTATTTTTGATCAAATAAATGCAGCTGGTGAGCAGAAGAGACTTCTTAAAAAAAAAAACAACATTAAAACATCTCGCTGACCCCAAAACTTTTTGTAATGCATCGATTAAGGAGTTTAATAATATTACTTAAATATATATTGCTGTTACTATAATGGAATATTTGGAGAATATCCCAATTTTAAAGTATGGCTGGCACTTCCTGTCCGGGAACTGCCACTCAAAATGGCTGTTTATGACACAAATAATCCTGATCCATCAGTTTGACTGAATGAGCTGGATGTTTTCCGTCAGAATCTGTTTTTATCCATCAGGAAAATAACGGAAATCTTGGTGTTTTAATCAGACGTCAGTCTCACAGGAATATCTGTGGCTTTTCAGGCATGTTTCTAAAGCAGGGAGAAACACAATGCTTGTTATCTGTCAAAATGACAGATAATAGTTAATGATGAAACATTTTTTTAGATTAACGCAACATCCGTGTTACATAACTTAGACTTGGCTGGGTTTCAATAGACTGAATCCTTGATGGATTGGATATTATGAGAGAATTAAAGTGTTTTTGATCTTTGCTGCATGTAAAGCTGTTGTAGGAGACTCCAAAACAACATTAGGAACCTTTAAAATAGCATAATGGGGCACTTTAATACTCTTGTACTTTTAAGTTAGATGGCTAATGTAGTTAACTTGTAGATAAAATGTTAACTAACAAACCTTATTGTAAAGTAGGGCTAGAAACATAATTAAAATATCATACCAAAATCAAATCATATTGCGGTCATAAAATGAATGATCAAATCGTACTGAAGCTGTAACAGATACTCTCTTCTCTAACAATGACAGAAGTTTATGCATTGATTTAGTATCAAAGACTCTTTCTTTCAGCGGGTTTGGCAGGAGTGAGTTGTGTTGTTGACTGGTTTTACACCTCGTCTGTAATGGATCTGAAACGTACCGAGCTTCCATAGTCCGTCACGGAGAAATCCAGGCTGTACTTCCTCCCTCCGGTTCCCACAACCTGTCAACACAAGAGTCAGCAGTCCTTTAGCAAACACAAGAGTCATCCTTTAGCAAACACCCACAGGCCCAGTCTCGCTGAAGGTAGAGGAGGAGCAAAACTCCAGAGCACGTAGATGTGAAAAGAGAACTTGTACAATAAAAATCTGAAGTTGAATGTTGAGATTTGCACTCGCAGACAATAGTCACAAACCTGTACTCTGAATTTGAAGCTGCAGACAAGCAGTAGTTAGAAATGTGTAAAAGGCCACTCACAGATATACAATGACAGACACAAACTTATTGTACATATTTGCACTTATCATTTCATTCACATTCGCAGTACAACCTCACTTAGGCACTTGCAACTTGTATTAGATGCAAAACTTACATGTAACTACTTGTCTGCAACTTCAAATTCAGAGTACAGGTTTGTGACTATTGTATGTGTTCTGAAATGGACATCTGCGAGCTCTGGAGTTCTGCTTCTCCTTTCCCTCCACGAGCGTCTCTGCAGTGACGGAGCTGAAGTGTCTGCGAGCTCGCCTCACCTGGTCCTCCGCCGTGGCCGTGTGCACCCGCTGCAGGCCGAACACCCTGAAGGGCGAGCCGTGGTGTGTGTTCAGGTGATGCAGGGCCACTTGAGCCGCCCGCCGCGCTGGGAAGTGTGTGGGAACCAGCTCTCCAGTGGCCATCGTCTGTGTCTGAGAGAGCAGAGGCACACACAAGCACTGAGACACACCTCACTCACAGGGTGTGTGTGTGTGGCTTACACTGGACTTTGAGTCTCTAACAGTTGTGTAACAAAAGCATGTGATCACTGTCAAAACGAGGAGATGAAGAAATGCTCAAGTGTTCAGACACAAGCAGAAATGTAGAAGCTGCTAGTAAGAGTTTCTGCACTTCCTGTTTTGTGCTGTAGCCCCGCCCTCTTTTAAAGAGACACTGCACTGTTTCTCTCTCAGCACAAATGTCCTGGCTCCTCCAAGCTTTATAATGGCAGTGAATGGCTGTTTCTGTTTTGAAGTTCATTAAAGTGCATCCATCCATGATGAAAAAGCATCTGTCCATGATAAAAGTGCTCCACACTGCTCCGGGAGGTTAATAAAGGCCTTCTGAAGGGGAGTGATGCGTTCGTAACGTGTTAAATATGGATATTTTTCTTACACAGAGGAAAATGGCTGGATGATAAAGATCTGTAGTGGCGAGTTGAACTGAGGAACCGTTATTGCAACCAAACAGTTTAGCCAGTTACATTCATAATGTTTATTGCAGGAAGTAAAATACAGTTTATGCAATCAATGCATGTTTTGCACTAAATTTCATATACAGTACATTTTAGTGGTGTGTGTGTGTGTGTGAATGTGTTTATCACCAATATAATACAATTAATAAACAAATCAGTTTATACATCACAGAAGCATTTTAACCCTCTGGTGCTCTTCACGTGTCGGTCAAAAATGACCTAAATTTATGTTTTTTATTTCAATTAAATTAATGGTCTATATTTTAGTTCGATAATGTTTTTTTATTTAATATTTTGTATTTTTAGGGGATTTTATGGTATTAAAATATATTTACGCTGTATTTATAATCCATTTATTCACTTTGAGCATAGCCCTGAAAATTACATTTCTAACTTAAACGTTTGTAAATCTTGAACGCTTTAGAGCGACAGACTGAAGTTTGATCTTTTTTCAAAGACGACACTTGACAGATTATTGCTGAAGTGAAAAGTTTTTAAAAAGTTACAGAATTTTACGTTTATTATGAAAAATGTGCAATATATGAAATATATATTTTCCAAAACATGTTTTACTCAAAGCAAATCAAAGCCATAAATCTACACCAGTGGTGTTCCGCATGTGCGGCTGATATCTCAGTAGACGAGCGTTCAGTGAGAGTGTGTTCGGCTGCAGTACCGAACGCTTCCACTAGAGGAAACTCTCCATTCGTTTCCAGTGGAGCACAAGCGGGACTATTGTTTTCAGGACCATTAAACCTGTTCCAGTCATGTCCATGATTTATGTGTGTGTTCACACAGCAAGTGCCAAAACCTTTACCAAGTTTCGTACCATTCCGATGAAGTAAAAAAAAAAAATCTGACCAAAAAAGGTGTTAATTTGTTCGGTCAGAAATGACCGTAGAGCACCAGAGGGTAAAGTATACACACAGATATTGCTTCATCACTCAAAACTGTTGATGTTATCACGATATTGCTGGTTATTTCCACATCAGCATCCACAGAGAGCGGAGTGTAGTGTGAATACTGGACGTGTGTTCCAGCAGTGACGCAGGGGTGTGTGTGTTGCAGGTTCGACTTCACCCATAAGAAGCAGTCTGGAGGCTCGGGTCAGTACGGTAAAGTGGTGGGCGTCCTGGAGCCGCTGGAGCCCGAGAACAACACCAAACTGGAGTTCAGTGACCAGACCGTGGGCACCAACATCCCCAAGCAGTTCGTGCCCGCCGTGGAGAAGGTGAGAGAGGATCTCAGCAGAGTCTCGCATGTCTTAGTCGTTTAGTCGCAGGAAAAAAACTTGAAAAAGGGGCAAAATCCGCAGGCTGTAACGGACAGATCGTTAACGGCAGGAAATCCAAATATATTCGCCTATCACTCATCGACCTCAAATATGGCTTATATCACTTGAAACATGTAAGTAGCAGCAACTTTACAAGTCCGTTCTCTAACCTAGATACATGTGTGCTATTATTAGTGTTAGTGTGGAGAGCCCGTTTACTGCATTATTACAGGCGCAATCTCCGCATTTAGCTTAAAACACTCCCTCATGTTTGGCCATTCAGATAAGAGTAATGCAAACTATACAGGGTCTACTTTTATTTTTGAAAACTCACAGTAACACCTAAACGTTGTGTTTGTGTAAAACAATGGTGCTTTCTGCCGTCTCGGTCTCATCACACAAATGAACCCAAACTCAGCGTATACTCGCCTCACAGACGTGAGAAATATATCTATAGAAAGCTTGACATGTCTACTTATGCATGAACAGATTCCAATGGAAGAAATGTATATTCTCGATTATGTAATCCGAAGGAAACGTGCATATAGGCGGAGTCGGCACCGTTACTTAATCTCTGCAGCCGAAAACACAGAACCAATAAATTATTAAAATGTTTAGACCGTCTCGTTCTGTTTGTTTCACGAGACATTCATAATCATTGCGTTTGCCAGTGCGCGGTGGCAAGCTTTATGTCTGAATTTGTGCGCTGATTAGGCAATTAAAGGCGCATTATTATGATTTACGGCTTATTAATAAAAACGCACGATTAGAGGACTAACGGCTTAAATGAAGGTGGACTAGAAGGGTGTTCACTGGAGGGCGGTGTGTGTGTCCTCAGGGCTTCAGGGAGGCGAGTGAGAAGGGGCCGCTGACGGGACACAGGATCTCCGGCGTGCGGTTCGTGCTGGACGACGGAGCGCACCACATGGTGGACTCCAACGAGATGTCCTTCATCCGGGCAGGAGAGGGCGCTCTCAGACAGGGTATGTGCACCTCTCCTCTTCTGCGGCTCCCGTGTGTGTGTGTGTTGACGTGTGTGTTTCTGTGCGCAGCGCTGGAGAAGGCCAGTGTGGTGATCCTGGAGCCGGTGATGTCAGTGGAGATCGTGGCTCCTAACGAGTTCCAGGGGTCCGTGATCGCAGGGGTCAACCGCAGGCACGGCGTGATCACGGGACAGGACGGGGCCGAGGGCTACTTCACACTCTACGCAGACGTGAGTCACTCGGTACACCGCTGGACCTCCACTACAGCGGACCACACACACACCGCATTATAGTTTACACCAGGGATGGGAAAATGTGGGCCGACAACTCTTTATCTTTGAAAGCCGATAACCGATATATCGGCCGATAAATCTAAAACCAAACTTTTATATAGTTTTTGAGAGCTTGATTGAAGCTTGAAACACTTCAGATATGTCGCCTATGAGACACACACGTTGCACTGAACTGTATTTTCCTCAAAGTGATTCCAATCATATTTCAAGCCATTCAAAGCCATCATGTTGAACAGTGCGCATCTGAAAGCGCCTCAGCTGAGGGAAATAACACACCATCTATCGGCTTTAACATATCGGACACATTTCCTTATCGGGTCGAGAATGATGGCATTAAAAATGAACATATATCGGCCGACACTGATATGTTGTGCTTCGCTAGTGTAAAAGTCTATTTTAAGACACTCGAGATTCTTTGCATTGTGATACTTTTGACAATTCAGCACTTTCCTGTCCAAATTAGGGCTGTGAAACAATTCATCCAAAATAAGAGTGTTTACATAACGTGTGTGTGTGTGTATAATTATTTTGTATATAAATACACACACATGCATGTATATTTAAGAAATATTTGCATATATATATACTAGGGATGGCCCGATACCATTTTTTTTCAAACCGATACGAGTACGAGTATTTACATTTGTGTACTTGCCGATACCGAGTACCGATACCGATATTTCTACCGCAAAAGTAATAGGCTCCCAGAAAAGAAGACGACTATTTTAGAACACAGGTTAGAAGACTGTTTTATTTTCTTCTCTGCTTGTTTTAACAAGTCTAAAAAAAAAAAAAAGTTGTAAAATAATAAATGTATTAACACACAAACCACTGTTAATTTAACATAAAAGCAAGCAGATACTGCGTGCATGGTCTGGCATGACTGAATGCGCGCAAAGTGCGCTCCCTTAATAAATCCTAAAAGCTGACAGTTCATCACGATCTCACACATCTCTGTTATTATCAATGAAGCTGACTGCACAATCAATCTTTCATAATATCCACACTTTGTTTGTTATAATTAGAGGATTTGCCAGCATACAGAATTCAGCACTGAACAAAAAAGTCCGTTTTGAGCGGTGAGGGGAGTCTATCTTAAATGCTTCTGATTGGCCATTGCGTTCAAGAAATCAACACATATGTCTGTGATTGGCTACATCGCTCAACGCTGTAACCATGTTATGAATAGAAACTCTGGCCTGTAAATCGTTTCTATTTTGTTGTAGTTGTTCTTGTTGCTTTTCTGCAAGAGATGAATAAAAATCTATTAGTTTTTATGTTTTATTCATAGATATTTCTAGTTTGCGGGAGTCCCGCGAATCGTTTTATTCTCCCGCACCCGCGCACACAGAGTGAGTGCATTACCGCCCGCGCCCGCGCTCGGCCATCAGATCTATGATGCGTCTTCAGATGTTTAATTAGATTGCTGGTGTTAAACGATGTACTTTCTTTCCCTCCTCTCGACACCTTAGCTGAACATAACTCACAGTCTGCCTTGCTGTTGTCATCATCCCTTATCTTGAAATGAGCCCAAACCGCCGACATTATACTTTCCTATGCCTCAGTTCACCTCGACAAAGCACTCGCGGCGGCCAGTTTCGTTTTGCAAAATGTACGTGGTATCGGCGAATTTTTATGAGTACGAGTACGAGTATATGAGGACAGTATCGGCCCGATGCCAGTATCGGTATCGGGCCATCCCTAGTATATACTATGTATATAATGCAAATATATCTTAAATATATACATGCATGTGTGTGTACTTATATACACAAAATAATTATACACACACACATTGTGTAAACAGTTTATTTGTAATCGTTTCACAGGCCTAGTCCAAATCCTCATTTCCTGTGACAAAATCTCAACATATAATTTACTGTAAAGCACAAAATATGTATTACAGGTAACACTTTATTTTACAGTGTCCTTGTTACATTTGACATGTACTTTCCAACTATAGTGAGACCATACAAGTATATGTAGTTTATTAATATTACTCCGTACTTAAATGTGTAATTACACTGTAACAAGGACACCTTAAAATAAAGTCTAACTGTATTTACACACGTTGTTTTTGTACTTTTTTCCTTTTTACAGTAAGAGATTGGAAATTGCAAAAAAACAAAGGAAAACATTCAGACGCGTTGTACAGTAGTAACGGGAATGAGCTTTTGTGTGAATGACACACATTTACAGTGTGTTCTTGCTTCTGCTTCTGTAGTTGTGTGTGGGATTAAACCCTTGTGATCGTGATGTTTCAGATCCCGTTGAATGACATGTTTGGATACTCCACAGAGCTGCGCTCCTGCACTGAGGTAAAACACACACACACTCACTCAGTGCTGATGTAGAGTGATGATGCATGTTCACAGTCTCGTGTGTGTGTGTGTTGTGTTCAGGGTAAAGGCGAGTACACCATGGACTACAGCAGATATCAGCCCTGTCTGCCCAGCGTTCAGGAGGACCTGGTCAACAAACACCTGGAGGCCACGGGACAGATGCCCGCCAAGAAGAGCAAGTGGAAGAACTGAACACACACACACACAGCTCACGGACGTTTGTAACAAGTGAACAGTCAAGAAGGTCACGGGGGATTGGCAGAGATCGGCTCTGGGAGGGTTTGCTCAGTAACTGTAAATGTCATTGTACAGCAAATGGTTGCAAATGTGGTGATTTACTATAAAATGATGATGTTTTAAATCAGTGTGTCTTGAGTCGCATTGGGGGAGACGTAACACTTCACCTGACTGGAGCGATTACACACACACACACACACACACACGATAGCATGATTCCCTCAGACCTGCTGTGACGGAGAAACGTGAGCCTAATGTAGAGAGCCAGGGGATTTCAGGAGGCATGTTACGCCACACACCCGGCTCAGCTTACACACAGCGAAACCATAACTCACTCTTCAGTTCCAAATCTGTCTGTTTACTGTGTTATAATAAAGCCATGTGTGACGCAGCTCACCTGACAACATACACTGATGAGCCAGAACAGTGCTGATTATACCCATTACCATCTCATCTACCCAGCCCTCCTGTGGTGAAGTCCAGCTTTAATGTTGTTTATGTGTGTATGTGGTGTTTTTAATACGCTTTAAGACACACCATGTGTAAGTTCATAAGTCGACAGCATTGCTGAGTATTTCCTCCTTAAAACTGCAGTGAACCAAAGACAGTCTCAAAAACACGGTTTGAAATCGCTGGTGTTTCTGACGTCACAAACGACCTTGTAACCAATCAGATCAACGTGTGATCGTCAACCAGTGGATCTCTGAGCTGAGGGAGTGAGTGGAGGCGGGGCTCATCTGCATATTCAGAGAACCGCGCATACTAAATGAGGCACGGGTGTCGAGTTACATTCAAGATATTTTAAGACATGGAGAGATTTTTTCAAGGTAAAAATGTTAAATATGTCATTTTGATGTTTAAAAATGAGTTTTAAGGGATCAAAACAAACAATTATTGTTCACAATCATAAAAAAACTGATTAAAAGATAAGCACTTCTGAATCCAGTGATCGTGTCACTTCCTGTCTACGGAGATCCCTTCATCTGATTGGTTTATGTGTCCTTCGCTGCTTATGATATCCCACAATCCTGTGTGTTCGAATTACATGAAAATAATCAAAATGGCGTCTGAAAGTCGCGGTCGGTGGTCAGTTTATCCACTTTATGAATGTAGCGAGAAATAATATTGTAGTAATTAAATGTTCACTTAGTTATGTATCTCGTTAGACCATTGAGCTTCCTCAGAGACCATCGCATGACACAAATCAGCCGTCGAAGCTTTCTGGATCACAACAGCCCTGAAGATGCTCAGGCCCGACAGTAAGACAGGAATAACCTCAGCAAACACTCATGGAGAAACAGCACAGGAACATGAACCCAACGCAGACTGCCGTAATGAGCACTGGTTACCTGGGACTGGGTCGGCGCCGGGTCCGTGGGCCGCGTGATGGAGTGGGCCGCACTGAGCTCAAGCAGAGAGAGAGAGAGGAGCAGCCAGAACGCCTCCATCATCATCCTCCGCTACACAACACTGACGCTTTCCAGACGAGAGATTTCCTCACACAGATCCAGAGGCACTTCAGCAAACTCACAGAAGTCTGCGTACGCTCAGACTCTAGATCATTCACACAGGACGTTCATGACGACACAACACATCTCAGAATTCATCAATCCAATGAGGTTTGTGCTGCTGTTTTCCCTCCAAACTGATGTCACTTCCTGGAAGATGATGCCAAAAAGGAGCTGGCTCAAGTTCAAGAGACTTTACAGAGGAGTAAAATGTTGGAAAGTGATATTGAGGACACGGATTGTTAAGTCAAAGATAATATTTTGCGCTCTGTTTCAGGAAATCATGCATTATAAACAGTAAAGTGATCCATATATCATCTGAGTGTCACAATAAAACACCTGGAGGCCGGACCAAAGTATGATTATAAGACCAAAGAGGAAATCTGTCCACTTTGACCATGTGTAACGGGCTATTGAAGCTATAAGCTGACTGCTAGCTAGGAAACAACAACATGCTAGCAGAAGGTTAACATTTCGGAAGAAAAGAAATAAACATGTTCATGTCTAGTATGAACACAACAGGGTTGACATGGTATGTTTTATGCCATTAGAGTCTTCTAGAAATGATTAAAAAGAGAGAAAAGTTTAACTGACACTTACTTTGTTCTTGGAGTTGCTTTCCCTCCAAGGAAATGATGTCACGTCTAGCAGGTCATGTGATTTATGGCATAAACTGGAGTTTGGCAGACATAAACTAATTTAAGGTTGAGTGTTATGTATCACAATATTAGTACATATCTGAAATATAATAAAACTGAAGAAAAAAAAATAGCAATTCAATTTAAAATGTAACCTTCACTTTGATCCCACTTAGGTGACCTTCCTTAACTATTATGTAGGCTACTTATAACATTAATAATAATAATATATAATGGTTTTTATTAATCAATTTGTAAAATCAGTTGACATGAAAGTTAATTCACATTTTTGTGTAAACTATGAGGTATTGTTTCATGGTGAAATAAAAACACCAAGCTAAATGACTCGACGCATGACTTTAACCACTTCTAACGAATCGCTGAATCCGTTTCGAGTGTTTGAACCGAATCAACACACGGTCTGAACGCGTTTCCAACGGTCATCCGCTTCTGTTGACGTGTGTAAACAAACGCGTGTTTTTAAACGCGAATTTAATTGTGAGAATAACACACACACAACACTGATCAATACAAGAAAAATATATATAAATATATACCATGCGTTCAGGAAATGCGAGATTGTCCAAGTTAGAAAAAACTGTAGTGTTCCCTATTGATCACGTGACCCTCAGCTGCCTGTCACATGACTGCGCTAGTTTGAACCATAGGTTTGAACATGGCAGACAGAGAGGAGCAGCGGAGTCTCTTAGATGGAGATGATGAAGATGAAGAAGAAGATGAGGGGTCTCGGCACCTGAGCCCGCTGTGTGACCCGAGGCACCTGCTCCACCGGATCCTGGTGCTGGTCTTCATGTGCTTTCTGGGCTTCGGTAATAACACAAGCAATCCCGACGACAAGACACACACACCATCCACATATTCATCTCCATATAGCGTTATATTCGCACGATAGAGTGTCATTCACAGAGTGGTCTTACTATGTTGTTACCATGTTTGGGCTCAGTGGTGTCAGATTTCATGTGAAAGTGAAACTCACCGTGTTTACTGTTGTTGTCTGTGTTGCAGGGAGTTATTTCTGTTATGATAACCCAGCTGCGCTTCAGACTCAAGTCATACAGGTGTGTGTGGATTTAGGCTCAGTTCATGTCCTCTGAGAAAACATGCATAAGTATAATAAACCATGTAAGTTTATGGTCTACAGTAGCGTAATGTGTGTGTGATGGTTCTGGGCTCGCTGTTTTTGTATCAGCTGATGGAGAGGTGCAGGCTCACCCTGGTTTCCTCCACACAAACCCAGTTGTGTTTTTCATTGGGATTCGGATTATTACAGAAAATAAGCTCTACCTGAGTCTAGAAGGACTGAATGTGTAATAAAGTATCAGCTGAAAGAGTGTGTATTGCTGTCACTGATTGACAGGCGTCTCATCTGATCCTGATGTGTCTCTCTCTCTCTCTCTCTCTCTCTCTCTCTGTGTGTGTGTGTGTGTGTGTAGGATATGAGTCTGAACACGGCCTCCTTCATGCAGCTGTACGCCTGGTACTCGTGGCCTAACGTGTTCCTCTGCTTCCTGGGAGGCTTTCTGTTGGACCGGGTCTTCGGCATCAGGTCCAGTCCAGCACACACTCTCCTCAGCCTCGCACACACTCTCCTCAGCCTCGCACACACTCTCCTCGGCCTCGCACACACACTCTCCTCGGCCTCGCACACACACTCTCCTCGGCCTCAGACACACACTCTCCTCGGCCTCAGACACACACTCTCCTCGCCCTCAGACACACACTCTCCTCGCCCTCAGACACACACTCTCCTCGGCCTCGCACACACACTCTCCTCGGCCTCAGACACACACTCTCCTCAGCCTCGCACACACTCTCCTCGCCCTCAGACACACACTCTCCTCGGCCTCGCACACACACTCTCCTCGGCCTCAGACACACACTCTCCTCGCCCTCAGACACACACTCTCCTCGCCCTCAGACACACACTCTCCTCGGCCTCGCACACACACTCTCCTCGGCCTCAGACACACACTCTCCTCAGCCTCGCACACACTCTCCTCGCCCTCAGACACACACTCTCCTCGGCCTCGCACACACACTCTCCTCGGCCTCAGACACACACTCTCCTCGGCCTCAGACACACACTCTCCTCGGCCTCAGACACACACTCTCCTCGCCCTCAGACACACACTCTCCTCGGCCTCGCACACACACTCTCCTCGGCCTCAGACACACACTCTCCTCAGCCTCGCACACACTCTCCTCGCCCTCAGACACACACTCTCCTCGGCCTCAGACACGCACTCTCCTCGGCCTCAGACACACACTCTCCTCGGCCTCAGACACACACTCTCCTCGGCCTCGCACACACTCTCCTCGCCCTCAGACACACACTCTCCTCGCCCTCAGACACACACTCTCCTCGCCCTCAGACACACACTCTCCTCGGCCTCGCACACACTCTCCTCGCCCTCGCACACACTCAAGCTTCACTCATATCTCATGACATCTCCTTTGTTCATATGGCTGCTGGACTGTGAGTGTGTAATGCGCTCTTGAATGTCAGCTGACTAACTCTTGTGTTGTTCTAGGCTGGGGACTGTCATCTTTGCTCTGTTTGTGTTAATAGGGCAGGTAGGTCATCACACACACACACACACACACACACACACACACACACACACACATGCATAGATAGGGTTGGTAATCGAACATCGATTCCAATTCTGGAATTGAATACTTGAGTTCAGGAATCGGATACTTGTTATAAAATAAAAATGACGATTCCTCATTGATTTCGACTTTCGACTTTAAACCATCGAAGTGCGAGACGACTGCAGGCGTGTGTACCTATACTGGGCAACTCTTAAAGTGACAGCAGCTGCCGTCTCTAAACATTAACCAAACAACTAAACTTCTTGACTGAATAGCTTTTGTAACTATATTTATAATGTGTATTTTATTTATAAAGTGCAGTGTTATTTTACATGATTGATTAGTTTCTGAACCTGAATACTGAATCTTACATCTCTGTTTATTTCAGACGTTTCTTTGTTCAGTTGTGTCTGTTTGTTGCGATTGCAAATTTTAAAACGATACCCAATGCTCCGCATAGATCACATGTGCACTGTACTGCTGTTGCTCACTTTAGTGATGTCAATCACCCACAACACTCACGCAGCACAGTTTGACCTGTGTGTGTGTGTGTGTGTGTGTGTGTGTGTATTTATGAGTTGTACGGTTGTTTTGCAGATCATATTTGCGGCCGGTGCTCTGGCCAATCACTTCTGGCTGATGAACGTGGGTCGGTTTGTGTTTGGGTGAGCGTGTCTCCTGATTGAAAGCCTGTAGTTGTGGTGTGTGTGTGTGTGTGTGTGTGTGAACGCTGATCCTCTCTGCTGTGCAGCATCGGTGGAGAGTCTCTGGCTGTGGCGCAGAACACGTATGCCGTCAACTGGTTTAAAGGGAAAGAGCTCAACCTGGTGTTCGGCCTGCAGCTCAGCATGGCCAGACTGGTGAGTGTGTGTGTGTGTGTCAGAGTTTTATTGTGTGTTGAAGATCAGAAGCATCACGTGTTCAGACCTCTAACTACCTGATTAAACAGCTTGTTCATGTCGGTTCAGGGACAGAACGCAGTCGATGTGCAGCTTCATTCTCGGGTTTAAAATGATCGTTGACAAAAACGTATCAATGCTCAGGAAACAATTTACTGGTTATAAATATTTCATACTTGATGTGAATCTGTTCTGCATTTTATTAAAGAACAATATATATTCATATCTCTATGACAGTTATTATTAAACGCTACCCTTCAGAAGTTTGGGTTTGATGATGTTTTAGTGTTAGTTTTTTTTTAAACGCTCACCAGGGCTGCATTTATTTGATCAAAAATACAGTAAAAACTGTGAAATATTATAACAGTGTAAATCTATGTGAATATATAGTAGAGTAATTTATTCCTGTGATCAAAGCTGAATCCGCATCATTACTCCAGTCTTCAGTGTCACATGACCCTTCAGAAATCACTCTAATATGAGGATCTGATTGCTTAAGAAACATTTATGATTATTATCAGTCCATATTTTTGTGGAAACCGTCATACATTTTATGTTTCAGGATTCTTATATGAATAGAAAGCTCAAAAGAACAGCATTTATTATCTTTTGCAACATTATAAATGTCTTTACTGTCACTTTTGATCAGGTTAATGCGTCCTTGCAGCTCAATTTGGTGGATTAATGTGAAACTTCAGATGAAGTTCTGGTGATAATTCTGCAGAGAGCTGACAGATGTGTGCGTTACACGTCCATCCTAAATCAGTGGAGAGGGTTATTTCAGTGTGATCTCAGTGAATATGACTGACGTGTGTGTGTGTGTGTGTGTGTGTGTGTGTGTTCAGGGCAGCACGGTGAACATGAACGTGATCGGTTGGGTGTACGGCCGTATTCAGTCTCTGACGGGATCAGCGGGACACTCCACTCTCGGGATCACACTCATGATCGGTGGGTATCATACAATATCACAAATATCACACATATATATATCAGATATCACAAATATCACTGCGCTTTAAAACTGTGAGCCTGGAAATGAGTCTGATCTCAACCAGTCACAATGTTCCTTCATTAAACTTTTTCTCCAGTTGTTTTCGAGCTAGAAAGTGTGAGTTGAGCATCTATAAACTGAGTTAAGTGTTTCTGCGGATCGTGTCCTGACTCACACACACACACACACACACACACACACACATCAGATGATCAGTTACACCCACACACACCCTGGTGTGCCTCGTCTTTCACTTCTCCTTCTGCTGTCTCACTGAATCTCCCGTGTTTCTTCTCCTGTCTGGAGTGACGGCTCATGATCCAGACACGCGTGTTAACCCTGGCGAAGGCCTTCCTGCTGAAACACACAACTCTTCTTTTGAAACAGACACCAAGATCTCAACAATAGATTTCTTCTTTCCCGTTCAGCTCAGAATATCACATTCTTGTGGAATGAGAGGAACTGAAATGCTCAAAAGTGTACATCCCCTTATAGATGACAGCTGAGTGTGTGTGTGACGGTCTCTGTGATGTGTGTGTGTGTGTGTGTGTGTGTGTGTGCAGCGGCGTCCACGTGTCTGTTCTCGCTCACATGCGCTCTGGTGCTGGGGTTCCTGGACAGACGGGCAGAGAAGATCCTCAAGAAGGAGCAGGGCCGAACCGGTGAGATGATCCTGACTGTGATCTCAGAGAGTCCAGCACTTCAGCAGAGTGTGTTTTACTGAAGTGTGTGTGTGTGTGGCTCGTGTAGGGGAAGTCATCAAGCTGACTGACGTCAAGGACTTTCCCTTCTCTCTCTGGCTCATCTTCATCATCTGTGTGGCGTATTACGTGGCCATCTTCCCCTTTATTGGACTGGGCCAGTGAGTTTCTGTCCAGATGAATATTCATATAAACAAAAAACAACAGTAAACAATTTAAAACGAGTGTAAAACTTGACATAGACAGAAGAGAATCATCTGCACATCATTATGATGAGATTACGATGGATGGGTTTGAATGATGTTGTCTTTACAAACAGAGTTTTCTTCATCGAGAAGTTCAGCTTCACTACTGTCCAGGCCAGAGCCATCAACAGGTACACACACACACACACACACACACACACACACACATCAGGGGCGAGGCCAGAAATGTTAAAGTGGGTGGGCCTTCATAAAACAGGGTGGGCAGTGTAGCGTACGAAAACTACACGCCTAATCACCAAAAAAATTAATAAATAAATACAACGCAGCATAACGTTCCATAACAGCTAATAACAACATTTAAAGGGATACTCCACCCAAAAAGGAAAATTCTGTCATTTACTCACCCTCAAGTTGTTGCGTACCTGAATGAGTTTCTTTCTTCTGCTGAACACAAAGAAAGATATTTTGAAGAACGATTGGAACCAAACAGTTGAAAAAAAAATACTATGGAAGTCAATGGTGCCAAAGTTCCACTCGTTCTTCAAAATATCTTCCTTTGTGTTCAGCAGAAGAAAGAAACTCATTCAGATTTGCAAAAACTTGAGGGTGAGTATCACTATATGCACATATACTCTGTAACAAACACAATAACAGTTAATATTTTCTGTTAAGTAGGCCTATAAATATTAGCCTATATGAATTATTGTTAGAAGTTTCTTTACTAAAAATATTGAGAGAATTTTTGTATTTACAATACATACTTACATCTACCTTCCTTTACATGTCCTCTAGTATTAGATATTAGTCCTACAATATTAGTCTGAGACCACGAGGCTTTTGATTAAAAACGGAGAGGATCTCATCGTATCAAGTGTCTCTGTCAGTTCACGTTCAAAGGAGAGATAAATGTAGGCGTCCAGGAAGCATTGAGGACCGTAGACATGTTTTTATGCGGCTTGTAGTGGAGAACAGTCTTTCAACACTGCTTGATGTCATTGGCAGAGTAATCAGTGCTCGTATCATTTTGTTAACGTTTGGAAAGATGTCCTCAGGACTGTTATCCAATACGTCCATGAGGGATGTGAAGCCCTGTCGAGCATCCGCCTTCTGTTTCAGTTGCTGCATGAACACTGCAAGCTCAGCATCACCAATGTCTATGCTATAATGTTTGCATGCAACTGTTAGTGAGTCGATCAGTCAATGTCTCCAAAAGTTAGACCATGGCTAGTTTCTGAATACTCTGCAAATGTTTCTAGGATGGCATCGAGCAGTGTCGAGATCATGATGACTGAGCCCGACTTAGAGCCCCATCTAGTGTGCACGGACTGCTCTAACTTCAGGATCTAGGATCGCATCGAGCAGTGTCGAGATCATGATGACTGAGCCCGACTTAGAGCCCCATCTAGTGTGCACGGACCACTCTAACTCCAGGATCTAGGATCGCATCGAGCAGTGTCGAGATCATGATGACTGAGCCCGACTTAGAGCCCCATCTAGTGTGCACGGACCACTCTAACTCCAGGATCTAGGATCGCATCGAGCAGTGTCGAGATCATGATGACTGAGCCCGACTTAGAGCCCCATCTAGTGTGCACGGACCGCTCTAACTCCAGGATCTAGGATCGCATCGAGCAGTGTCGAGATCATGGTGACTGAGCCCGACTTAGAGCCCCATCTAGTGTGCACGGACCACTCTAACTCCGGGATCTAGGATCACATCGAGCAGTGTCGAGATCATGATGACTGAGCCCGACTTAGAGCCCAATCTAGTGTGCACGGACCGCTCTAACTTCAGGATCGCATACTCCAGGATCTAGGATCGCATCGAGCAGTGTCGAGATCATGATGACTGAGCCCGACTTAGAGCCCCATCTAGTGTGCACGGACCACTCTAACTTCAGGATCTAGGATCGCATCGAACAGTGTTGAGATCATGATGACTGAGCCCGACTTAGAGCCCCATCTAGTGTGCACGGACCGCTCTAACTCCAGGATCTAGGATCGCATCGAGCAGTGTCGAGATCATGATGACTGAGCCCCAATTAGAGCCCCATCTAGTGTGCACGGACCGCTCTAACTCCAGGATCTAGGATCGCATCGAGCAGTGTCGAGATCATGATGACTGAGCCCGACTTAGAGCCCCATCTAGTGTGCACGGACCGCTCTAACTCCAGGATCTAGGATCGCATCGAGCAGTGTCGAGATCATGATGACTGAGCCCGACTTAGAGCCCCATCTAGTGTGCACGGACCGCTCTAACTCCAGGATCTAGGATCGCATCGAGCAGTGTCGAGATCATGATGACTGAGCCCGACTTAGAGCCCCATCTATTGTGCACGGACCACTCTAACTTCAGGATCGCATACTCCAGGATCTAGGATCGCATCGAGCAGTGTCGAGATCATGATGACTGAGCCCGACTTAGAGCCCCATCTAGTGTGCATGGACCACTCTAACTCCGGGATCTAGGATCGCATCGAGCAGTGTCGAGATCATGATGACTGAGCCCGACTTAGAGCCCCATCTAGTGTGCATGGACCACTCTAACTCCGGGATCTAGGATCGCATCGAGCAGTGTCGAGATCATGGTGACTAAGCCCGACTTAGAGCCCCATCTAGTGTGCACGGACCACTCTAACTCCAGGATCTAGGATCGCATCGAGCAGTGTCGAGATCATGATGACTGAGCCCGACTTAGAGCCCCATCTAGTGTGCACGGACCGCTCTAACTCCAGGATCTAGGATCGCATCGAGCAGTGTCGAGATCATGATGACTGAGCCCGACTTAGAGCCCCATCTAGTGTGCATGGACCACTCTAACTCCAGGATCTAGGATCGCATCGAGCAGTGTCGAGATCATGGTGACTAAGCCCGACTTAGAGCCCCATCTAGTGTGCACGGACCACTCTAACTCCAGGATCTAGGATCGCATCGAGCAGTGTCGAGATCATGGTGACTGAGCCCGACTTATAGCCCCATCTAGTGTGCACGGACCGCTCTAACTCCAGGATCTAGGATCGCATCGAGCAGTGTCGAGATCATGATGACTGAGCCCGACTTAGAGCCCCATCTAGTGTGCACGGACCACTCTAACTCCAGGATCGCATACTCCAGGATCTAGGATCGCATCGAGCAGTGTCGAGATCATGGTGACTGAGCCTGACTTAGAGCCCCATCTAGTGTGCATGGACCACTCTAACTCCAGGATCGCATACTCCAGGATCTAGGATCGCATCGAGCAGTGTCGAGATCATGGTGACTGAGCCTGACTTAGAGCCCCATCTAGTGTGCACGGACCGCTCTAACTCCAAGCACTGCCACTCTGGATTCAACTCCTTTTGAATTTCCATAAATCATGCATGACGTCTGCTTCCAGTCATGAAGCCATGAACAGAATTCAGTGTTTCAAAGAACGTACTCGTGTGTCTAGATGCTTCTGCAACACTGCTGAGAACAAGATTGAGGCGATGTGAACAACAATGTACATAAACACCATGAGGGAAAGTACGTTTAAGGATGACCTGCACTCCGCCTTTTGCACCGGACATCACAGAGGCGCCGTCAAAGCAAAATCCCACTCACAATTCAGGGTCCAGGATAAGTGGTGCTGACACTTTAAAGTCCCCGTAAAGTCAAAATTTTGTATGTGTTCTGAGTTTGTCACACCACAGAAAAATGTGTTATTAGCCACCCTGCCAAATTTGAATGATAAAAAAAGCCAGCAAGTACATAAAATAAGCTATCAAAATCTTGAAAAAATGAGCAGTAGTCTCTGCTCTCAAAAGCTGGGGGCGTGTCCACTGGCTGCGCTGAAACCACGCCCACTCGCGGTAAAGCTACCGTCGCCACACTCAACTCTACAGCCGGAATAGATGCTCGCACGGTGGGCACGCACTGCCGATGATGGCACCAGTTGTCGGCGCGACGGGAGGATGAATGCCGAGGCGGAAGATAGTCGGTTCGGCCCCATTCACCAGTAACAACGGATCATCAGTAAATGTCTCAGTTGTCTCCGACGAAAGTTTATAAAACTATCCCGTGTAAAATGATCACTTACTTACAGAGGCTGGTTTTGGCTGTGATCCTCAGCTCTCCATCAAGGTCGGCTCTTCACAAAATTAATCCACTTCTTCTTGATGTAATCGTTTTTCGGAAATTTAAATAAGGACACCGATCTGTTTTGTATGTGATCCGGTGATCGCATCCAGGTAGTAGGCCTACGCTTTTCTGTGACGAAGGCATAGCTAGCTAGCAATCTGTAGGCTGCTGTAGTAACTAATAGTACTGACCGTAACTCACGATTGAGCGGCAAAACTGATGTGAATGTGCTCTATATTGTTAGGGGAGCGGACAGCCTCAGTGGCTCCAGTGCGTCATCAAGTAGGGGCGTGTCCGGGAGCTCAGGGGCTCCAGTGCGTCATCAAGTAGGGGCGTGTCCGGGAGCTCAAGGGCTCCAGTGCGTCATCGAGCCCCGTTTTAGCCCCGCCCAGAAAATCTGGAAAATAGCAATGGTGAAAAACTGTTTAACGGTCTAACTCCACAATTCAGCACTTCACAGTTCACAGTCTTTGTAATATGTTTTAGCAATACATTTCTAACATTTCTAATGTGTTTAGAATTTTTTTTTTAAATTGCCTTTACAGGGACTTTAAGTATTTTCTCTGAAATCGCATCAGCTGTCATTTCACATGTATCCAAAAAACCAATGGCCCTTTCTTTCACAAGACCTCCATGCAAGTATCGAATGCAAACTGCAACAAGCTCTCTTTTCGAGAGATCTGTACACCTGTCTGCCATAATGGCATAATATGTGTTCGGTGTCGCATGCAACTGTTCTTATCTTGTGCGGCCGACTCGAGTAAATCATTCTGAATATCTGAGCTCGTCATCGTCGCAGTTTTAGGCAGCTGGTCAAGGCGCTTTTGAATTTCCTGATCATATTTTCCCTGTTTAATGCTTCCTCGCTTTCTCTGTGACCACGCAATGGGATACAGGTCCTGTGGTGGGGTTCCAGAGACATTGGAAGTTGACTCTGTTGGTTCATTAGATGCCCCGTCTTTAATTATTGTCGACGTGCCAATCTCATTAGCAGGAAATGCAGATTGAGCTGCAGGTGGTCTAGCTTCATTTGTTGACGGCCCAGATTCATTGGTAGACCTGGTTTCTTCTGAAACATCCAATTTAGGCTTCTTAAAAAATCTACTGATTGTTATTTGCATCGCCATTTTCAAATTCAAATCTACAAATGCACGAATCGTACTATTATAATGTAATAGGCGGGACTAACAGGAACTGACGAATCATATTCACCTTTTTATTTTGACAAGTTTTTGCCTATTTTGACACTTAATCACTGGAGTCTGAATCAAGTCTGGAGTCTTTATCACTGGAGTCCGAGTCAAGTCTGGAGTCTTTATCACTGGAGTCTGAATCAAGTCTGGAGTCTTTATCACTGGAGTCGGAGTCCTTATCACTGGAGTCCGAGTCAAGTCTGGAGTCTTTATCACTGGAGTCTGAATCAAGTCTGGAGTCTTTATCACTGGAGTCTGAATCAAGTCTGGAGTCTTTATCACTGGAGTCTGAATTAAGTCTGGAGTCTTTATCCCTGGAGTCTGAATCAAGTCTGGAGTCTTTATCACTGGAGTCCGAGTCAAGTCTAGAGTCTTTATCACTGGAGTCTGAATAAAGTCTGGAGTCTTTACCACTGGAGTCTGAATAAAGTCTGGAGTCTTTACCACTGGAGTCTGAGTCAAGTCTGGAGTCTTTACCACTGGAGTCTGAATAAAGTCTGGAGTCTTTATCACTGGAGTCTGAGTCAAGTCTGGAGTCTTTACCACTGGAGTCTGAATAAAGTCTGGAGTCTTTATCACTGGAGTCTGAATCGAGTCTGGAGTCTTTATCACTGGAGTCTGAGTCAAGTCTGGAGTCTTTATCACTGGAGTCTGAGTCAAGTCTGGAGTCTTTACCACTTGAGTCTAGTCTGAGTTTACAGCAGTAAACTCAGTGATGTCAGTCACTGGACATGATGTTTAAAAGCTGCGCTGCTTTCCTTCATCCACCCACATCTGGAGAAGCGCTTTATTTTCACTATCTGTCAGATCTTTTACTGTAGCGTAATCGGCCTAGAGCAGTCGTGTTAACGGTTATGCTGCAACTTCAAATTCAACTAGTGATTTACCCCCTGTTCACACATGAGCCCAAAACAGTACAATGACAGTCATTTTTATTTGCTTTAGCGACTGAAAGTGCATGTGTGACACCGTTGGTCTTTAACCGTGCAGTATCGTGTACATCATCTCGGCGCCGGCGTCTCCTCTGCTGGGGTTTCTGGTGGACCGGACCGGGCGTAACGTGCTCTGGGTTATGCTGGCCGTCGTCACCACACTCCTCTCACACATGATGCTGGCCTTCACCTTCTGGAACCCCTGGATCGCCATGGTAAGCCCCCTATGTATGCGAGTTTGTGTGTGAGGGAGTGTGTGTGTGTGTGTCCGATCAGCCCCCAGATCCTGAACCCTGTGTGTGTGTGTGTGTGTGTGTGTCAGTGTCTCCTAGGCCTGTCTTACTCTCTGCTGGCCTGTGTGTGTGTGTGTGTGTGTGTGTGTGTCCGATGACCCCTCAGGTCTTTAACCCTGTGTGTGTGTGTGTGTGTGTGTGTGTGTGTGTCAGTGTCTCCTAGGCCTGTCGTACTCTCTGCTGGCCTGTGTGTGTGTGTGTGTGTCCGATGACCCCTCAGGTCTTTAACCCTGTGTGTGTGTGTGTGTGTGTGTGTGTGTCAGTGTCTCCTAGGCCTGTCGTACTCTCTGCTGGCCTGTGTGTGTGTGTGTGTGTGTGTCCGATGACCCCTCAGGTCTTTAACCCTGTGTGTGTGTGTGTGTGTGTGTGTGTCAGTGTCTCCTAGGCCTGTCGTACTCTCTGCTGGCCTGTGTGTGTGTGTGTGTGTGTCCGATGACCCCTCAGGTCTTTAACCCTGTGTGTGTGTGTGTGTGTGTGTGTGTGTCAGTGTCTCCTAGGCCTGTCGTACTCTCTGCTGGCCTGTGCGCTGTGGCCCATGGTGGCGTTTGTGGTGCCGGAGCATCAGCTGGGAACGGCGTACGGATTGTAAGTCTCTCCTCTGATGTTCCTCATCCTCTGCTGAAGATCATGCAGGTGTTTCTGACGCTCTGGTGTGTGTGTGCAGCATGCAGTCCATCCAGAACCTGGGTCTGGCCGTCATGTCGATGGCTGCGGGAAGCATCCTGGACAACAAGGGTTACCTCTTCCTCGAGGTCTTCTTCATCGCCTGCCTGTGCAGTGAGTATCTGCACACTAGGGCTGTCTGATTTCTCATTTCTTTCTTAAATATTAGCAAAATTCTAATTATATTGAAATTCTAAAGGCAATATTTTAAAAATGTACTGCATTGTCTCCTATTGTTGTGTAGTTTCTTAAAACTGTAGTTCTGTCATCCTGAATCAAATGCCTGTGATGATGAAACGGACTCCTGAAGAGTGTGTGTGTGTGTGTGTTTCAGTGGCTCTGCTCGCTGTGGTGTTGCTGTATCTGTACGATTATCACACAGGTAAGCTCAGCGATCACTCCTGATGAACTCGGCCTGTGACGGGCCGTTACTCACACACACTTCCTCTGCTTCTGTCCTCAGAGGGCGAGCTGAACCTGTCAGCCTCGACACGAGCCGAGCGACTCAAATCTGAGTGAGTAAACCTCTGTCCTTCACCTCAGACACGCATCTGGCCTCCTCAGGGCCAGGAACACACACACACACTTCTCACGCAGAGCCAGAGGCGTTGAGGGAACAGAAACTGTGGTTCCTCTGCTGGGAGAGAAAGCTAAAGGAAGTCAGGGAGAATCTCACACAGTGTCAAGAACACACGTTACTCAGATTTCACCCTGAACCGATTTCATGACAATTCGACACGTTTAACCGCCAACAACTCATTTTATGTGTGACTCGAGTGTCCGGATATTGTTTGGCGCTGCTGTGTGTTCTCTACAGGCAATCCAAGAGCAGTCCAGACTTTTAAATAGGGCTCCATTATTTTAGTAATCCTGTATTCTACAATTTATTCTATCAATTAATCGAGTAATCAGATTAAAAATTGTGGTAATAAAAATAGATCCAAGTGAACAACAGCCTTTAAAATGAACTGATATAAACATAACTTCTGTACACTACTATAATAAACGCTGCTGTTAGTTATTGTTGCTCTACGACACGATCAAATCCTTTAATATCGGCCAAACAACATATTTAATGCAAATTCGTAACCCTTAATATCTGGTCACTTCTGTAGGATAGAAGAGCCGGCGCTGTAATTCCCTGAGCGAGAACATGTGCGCGTCAACACACACACTCACAGCGAGAGTTTAACACACACACTCACAGCGAGAGTTTAACACACACACTCACAGCGAGAGTTTAACACACACACTCACAGCGAGAGTTTAACACACACACTCACAGCGAGAGTTTAACACACACACTCACAGCGAGTGTTTAACACACACACTCACAGCGAGAGTTTAACACACACACTCACAGCGAGAGTTTAACACACACACTCACAGCGAGAGTTTAACACACACACTCACAGCGAGAGTTTAACACACACACTCACAGCGAGAGTTTAACACACACACTCACAGCGAGAGTTTAACACACACACTCACAGCGAGAGTTTAACACACACACTCACAGCGAGAGTTTAACACACACACTCACAGCGAGAGTTTAACACACACACTCACAGCGAGAGTTTAACACACACACTCACAGCGAGAGTTTAACACACACACTCACAGCGAGAGTTTGGGCTTTATATTGAAGGTCGCATATTTAGAAACATATTTCTGTATTCTCGTGTGTTGGTGTAGATTTACAAACGTGTGACGTTACAAATCTTGTGAAATGACACACACACTGCGTTCCCAGATGAAGGTCAGCAACACACACTCACGCATGAGACCCGAGACGCTCCACATATAAACGATAACAGTGACACTGTGACACACACACCGCGGCGGCCTTCTGCGTTCCCGAACACGTTACTGGAAGCCTGTTATAACCCTGATCATGGGCCTGGTATAAAAATGCTGCTTTATGTAATATTTTCTTTTGACAGCATCACATATAATCCCACAATCCCTCTGTCAATGCCAGTGAACCCTTAAACACAAGATGGCCGAAGAGCTGAGAGAACTCATGTGTGTGTGTTGTGTTTCAGGTGACGGCTCTTCTGCACTGCGTCCTTCACTGAACACTTTCCCACATCACCCACAATCCTCTAGATGAGCACCGGACAGATGGACACCACACACACACACACACACACACACACACACACACAGAAAGCACTTTACACGATCCTGTGACATTATTCTCAGCAGTTTTAAAAAACAAATCTGTAATGCCAAAAAACTTTTATAATATGGCATTTTAATAATACTTTATGATATTGCTGCCATGTAATTACCCTGTAGGGCCTATACTTTTAACTCATGATTTTAATCAACAAACTGTGCCAGGGTAGGATGATTTTAAGCACTGTGTTATTGTAGTAATCTGTTAATTGTAATGGAAATAATGTCACAAGGTCCTAAAGTATTCTTGATGTATTCTTCCCCCTTTTCTCTCTCTCTTTCTTTCTTTCTTTCTTTCTTTCTTTCTTTCTTTCTTTCTTTCTTTCTTTCTTTCTTTCTTTCTTTCTTTCTTTCTTTCTTTCTTTCTTTCTTTCTTTTCCTTTGGGATGAAATATGAGGCACATTTCTTCATGAGGTCCAGCCGATGTCTCAGGGAAGCATCTTGACCATTATAAACATGGAGGAGCTTTCTGTGTCCGTAAGTTCAGGCGGGACCGCTTCTCTCTTGTCCTCGAGTCAGAGGCGTTTAGCACTGAGCCGGTCCTCCACACACGGCGAGCCTGTGCTGTCCCGCACCTGCATCAGGACACACTCGGACACACTCAGCTGCTCCTGTCTTAACTCGGCCTGTTTCTATTCTAGTTTCAGTTTTAATCGTTTCAGTCATTCTGGTTTGTTTGCACAGTAACATGGGATTCACTTGATTGATTTTATCCCCAAAGAACTGACGATTTAGCACCTGTCTTTGGGCCGGTCCACACAGAACGCGTTTGTGCTGTTAAAACCCTGAGACGAAAACAGCACAAGGTCTAGAGACACGTTTTTTAAAAAGGTGAACTTCTTTAACTTGAGCACTGTGTTTCTAGAATGCCGTGTAATGAGCGCAACGGTTAAAGACGTCCGTCTAGTGCGTCTACGTTGCAAAACAAAGGAAAAGTGTCTCAGTGGAATGGAGAACGCGTTCTATGTGAACGGCCCCTTGCTCATAGATATTGTAAATGGCATTTTATACTGACTTAAAAGCATTTTTCTTGGAAGATTTGTCATGTTATTATTTTAACTTTTTTTGCAATTTGTAATTGACTTCAGTCATGAAAGTCTAGATGGCGCAGGCTGATGGTCCTTTACATGGAATCTGTAAAGCAGTGACATCATTACGGCATGGCACAGCTGATTGGCTCAGCTGATCCTGCAGCCAATGAGATGCTTGCTCCACATTGAGTGTCAGCTGTAGGATAGTGTGCTGTTCCTCTGAAGCCCTCCGCCTTAAAACCATTTCAAGAGTTTACATGATTCAAATATATATAATCTATGTACAATTACATTTTGTAAGCGATTCATTTTGCTTTAAAATATAGTGGATTTTTTTTCTATCAGAAGTATTTGGGTTGAAATATGAGATATGACCCGGCATGTCGTTGACAGCGTCATGAGATGTATTGCCTATATATTCTGTGTCATTATACAGCTTCAGCTTCATCTCTGTGTAATATTTCATCTTCAGCGTGTAATGCTGTGTTTGACATACTGTTTGATATCAGTTGTTCTGAGCTAATGATCAAAGATGTCCAGCGCAGCTCGTGATGAAGGTGTGTGATTCTGAACACAGAGACTGGTCTCTCAGTCTGGCTCTCATGAGGAGAATAAACACATCAGATGTACTGGTTCGTTTTATAGTGTGTGTGTGTGTGTCAGATGTCAGTGTAGTGAAACTGCAGTTTTGTCTCAGGGGTGTCCAGCGTGTCCATCGGGAGACTGTGGAGGATCGAGAGCATCTGAAGCCTTTGTCCCCATTCGGTCTACGCAACCGCTATCTGTCCAGACTGGGCGTGCAGGTAACAGAGTAAACACACACACACACACACACACACATCTGGGAGTGCAGGTAACAGAGTAAACACATACACACACATCTGGGCATGCATGTAACAGAGAAAACACACTCACACACACACATCTGGGAGTGCAGGTAACAGAAAACACACACACATCTGGGAGTGCAGGTAACAGAAAACACACACATCTGGGAGTGCAGGTAACAGAGAAAACACACACACATCTGGGCCTGCAGGCCTACCCCCTGTTCGAATTAGGGACAGAAATATCAGTTTTGGGGGGGTCAGATAATTTTTCTGATATTGTGAAAAAATATAATTAGTTACAATACAAGTCAACTCCTATTTTCACTGTAGGAACATTTTAATGTAAAGCGATTTCAGACACCCCTATTGTGGACCGAACCATTTTTAACCACCGTGGCTAGAAGCAACGGAGATAGAGAACCAGGGTTCGAAATGAGGGGGGTCTGGGGGGTTCCCGGACCCTCCATAAGTAATTAGGGACCCCCCATAAAAATGTATTTATCCCTGACAAATATATTTTAACATTAAAAATGATTGTGAAAATTATAGGTCTTTAGTGACGTTTTATATTTATAAACGTAATTAATTTATTTCCTAGCGTGAGGCAGCAATCAGGGCAGCTATTAGCCGAGTGAGTTGTTGTTGTGGTGCTCCCGCTAATGTACGGACCGTAACAAAGTTGCGCTGTTGAGGCTCGCGCAGTTATTTATAACATATTAATTTATGGTTAAGAAACTATAGGCTATTGTTTTCCTGAATGCCATCACGATTGAAACCGAGATATTGATTTCATAACTGTTCAATAAACAAATAGTTAAAATTAAGTTACTTACATTTTTAGACGCAATGACTGTTTTTGTTCTGTTTCAGCAGCGAAAATAGTTCCAAACAACAGAACCACAGCGCATCTCAGAGCAACACTCATCCATGATTCATTACTGAATAATTCAGTCTTTTGAACTAATCGCTCGAGTCAAAGATTCAATTACACATTATTAAACCGCCTCTTTCTGAATAAATCAGCCGTTTGAACGAATTGTTTAAATGAATGACTCAATGACTCGCTCATTAAGACGGCCGCCTGCCGCCTCCCACTGGCGGTTTAGTTCCCTTTCGAACGGTCACTTCGTATTGCGTAGCTATACGCAGTGGGGAAACTCCTTTTCCTCGATTTACTGAAGCCTATACAGTATGTAAAAATGCACATCCAATGGCGTGGGCGATTCTGACGTGCAACCAAACCTCAAGCTACAGTGGCCCACGCCCGAGGAGCCGCCTCGTATGGCCAGCAGCCATATCACCCTGTAGCCCAAGACTGGTTGCCCATTGAAGCTAAGCAGGGCTGAGCCTGGTTAGTACCTGGATGGGAGACCTTCTGGGAAAACCAGGTTGCTGCTGGAAGAGGTGTTAGTGAGGCCAGCAGGGGGTGCTCACCCTGTGGTCTGTGTGGGTCCTAATGCCCCAGTATAGTGACGGGGACACTATACTGTCAAAGAGCACCGTCCTTCGGATGAGACGTTAAACCGAGGCCCTGACTCTCTGTGGCCCTTCTCGTAAAGAGTAGGGGTGTAACCCCGGTGTCCTGGCCACATTCCACCCATTGGCCCCTGCCAATCATGGCCTCCTAATAATCCCCATCCACTGAATTGGCTCTATCACTCTCTCTCCTCTCCACTTATAGCTGGTGTGTGGTGAGCGCACTGGCGCCGTTGTACTGTGGCTGCCGTCGCATCATCCAAGTGGATGCTGCACACTGGTGCTGATTGAGGAGAGACCCCCTGATATGATTGTAAAGCGCTTTGGGTGTACAGTAGTACATATGAAAGCGCTATATAAATGCCTCATTCATTCATTCATTCTCGTAGTCGGCTGGATGGATGGTTCCTGTCGGGGCGCCAGCAGACCCCTCGTCACAAACCGGCGCCATTTTACCCCGAGGTCCACGAGGAGCTCACCAAGGCCTGGCGCGCTCCATACTCAGCACGTGTGGGATCTGCAGTTTCCGCGACGCTCTCCTCCATGGATGGCGCAGCGGAAAAGGGTTATGAGTCTTTGCCGCCCCTCGAAGAGGCCGTGGCCGGTCATCTTTGCCCGAGCACTGCAGCTAGCTGGCGAGCTAGAGCCGCTCATCCCAACAAACCCTGCCGAAACACCTCAGCCCTCGCTGGATGCGCGTATTCCGCCTCCGGTCAGGCTGCTTCGGCCCTGCACACGATGGCCGTGTTGCAGGTCTTCCAGGCCAAACTCCTCCAGTCCATGGACGAGCCTGGTCCGGACCCGGAGACCTTTCGGGACCTGAGGAGTGCTACAGACTTAGCGCTGCGTGCTACTAAGGCTACAGCACAGGCCATCGGAAGGAACATGGCGAGCTTGGTCGTGCTCGAGCGCCATCTTTGGCTCAACCTCACGAGATCAAAGAAGCCGACAGAACTAGATTTCTCGACGCCCCGGTTTCCAGCTCCGGTCTCTTCGGCCCAGCGGTGAAGGGATTCTCGGAGATGTACACAGAGGCACAGAAAGCGTCCTAGGCCATGCAACACCTCTTGCCGTAACGCTCAAGCTCCGTGACCAGCAAGCCCAAGCCACCAAAGTTGACCTTTTCGCCTCGAGAGCCAATACCCACTGCAGGGTGTTCTTCTCGAAGAACAGGGACGCGCTGGCTCATTCCTGGTTCAGCCGCCCCCTTTACGCTTTTCTCCCCGTCTCGATGATCCCACAAGTCATCGAGCGGGTCAGGGAGAGCGGATGCCCAGTCCTTCTGGTGGCTCCTCTCTGGAAATCCAGACCATGGTTTCCGGAGCTGGTTCAGTTGTCAGACACGATCCCCTGGCCTGTTCCAATGAGGAAGGATCTCCTCACACAGGCCAACGGAACGATATGGCATCCCCGACCCGATTTATGGGCCCTCCATGTGTGGCCCCTAAACGGGTACCCGGGGACCTTCCTGACAGGGTCTTAAGCACTATCTCTGAAGCAAGGGCCCCGTCTACTCGGCGCCTTTATGCTTTGAAGTGGTCGGGTTTTTCCAGCTGGTGCTCGAATAATCGTATTGACCCAGAGTCATGTGAGGTTTCTGTGGTGCTCTCCTTCCTGCAGGAGCTACTGGACGTGGGCCGCACCCTGTCCACGCTCAAAGTGTACGTGGCAGCCATCGCAGCGCATCATGCTCTGGTGGCTGGCCAATCACTGGGAAGAAATTACCTGGTGGTAAGGTTTCTGAAAGGTGCTAGGAGGATTAACCCCTCCAGGCCCCCTTCGGTGCCGCCTTGGGACCTCTCCACGGTCCTTAGGGCCCTGACGGGGCCACCTTTTGAGCCGCTCCAGTCGGTTGATCTAAAACCACTCTCGCTAAAGACTGCTCTCCTGTTGGCA